AGCAGCAGACTCCCTGCCATTAGCAGCTATTATTTTACGGAGCAAACACTCTACTACTAGCGACAGCAAAAGAGGCTTTGTAACTAGCGGCAGTTACTTTGCCGCTAGTGGCAGCTACTTTGCTGCTACTTTAGTGGCAGTTGCCTTCTGGTAGTAGCGGTTACTCTGCTGCTAGCAGTAGTTACTTTGTCGCTAGTGGCAGCTACTTTGCTGCTAGTGGCAGTTACTTTACAGCTAGAGACAGACATTTTACGGCTAGTGACAGACACTCTGAAACTAGCGACAGTTTTTTTTGAGCTAGCAGCAGTTACTTTAAGGCTAGCAGTAGATGTTGCAACTAACAGCAGATATCTTACAGCTAGAAGAAGACATTCTACGGCTAGTAGGGGCACCGCGTCTAGCGGCAGCTACCCTACAGCCACAAGACATCCTGCTACTAGCAGCAGTCACTTAATGTCTTGTAGCTGACATTCCGCTGCTAGCTGAAGTTATTCTACGATTAGCGGCAGTCGCTATAGCTAGCAAACGACCTGTAACTAGCGGCAAATAATCTGCAACTAACGGAGTGCCGTAGTAACTGTACTAACGGCACTTGACTTGGCATCCTTGGCGCCTAGTGGCAGTTGATGGCGCGGCGTTGCAGGCGGCGGATGCGGCGGTGCCAGTCGTCGCGCCACTCCAGCAGCAGCGTGCGGTCGCCGACCGTCAGTCCCGGCAGTCCCGTCGCGTAGCCTTCTTTTTCCACTCCTAGGATTAGGTACGACCTGTGGGAGATGGTATAATTTTAGATTTTCACTCGCGTTACTTGTTACATGGGAATGAAGTTTCTCAGAAGAATCTCTTGAGTTGCTCAGGCAGCCTGCTTATGTTCCTTATGTTCACCACCAACATTCCAATTTTTGTATGGCCAGGAACTACAGTTGGCTAAAGCCTGGTCCGTGAGCACGTAGAATTTTGTCCAATGACCCCAAGCTACCCATCCTTATCGCTCGCGCGTAATTATGTTGCTGTCGCGCTCGCACACTCACTGCGGGTGCCAGTCGCACAGTCGCGACCAGGCTTTACCAATGATTCCCAACCAGTGAAAATTGGGTAACCGTGTGTGATAGCTGACTGCCTTTGGCACCCGAAAAAAGTTTCATCAGATGGGCATAGGAAGAGTTGAAAGTACGATAAGTAAGGCTTGAATTGTCCTACGTTGACGTCAATCACAAACCAGTCTGCACCACTGGCATCATTCAGTTTTACCAGCGCGTAGTATATTGGGATGTGAACTGATGTGTCTATCTATACGCAACGTATATTCGTACGTTCGTCAGCGTAGGAAGACTTAAAAACTCCAAAGCGGGCTGCAGCGGCGTTAAATACGCTGCAAGTATAGCTGCAGCCCGCTTCGGTACCTTATAAGCTCCTATAGAAGAACCACTCACTTGTTGATCTTGAGCTTAGGGCACTTGCAGGCGAGGTCCGCAGGCGTGCGCTTATACACGGCTTGCACGCTCACCTTGCTCATTACAACTAGAGGAGATGTAGAGGTTAGGGAGACGAGCTTACTTATTGATCTTGAGCTTAGGGCACTTGCAGGCGAGGTCCCTGGCACGCAGGCGCGAGCGCGGCGCACGCTTTTACACGGCTTGCACTCACCTTGCCCATTATGTCTGGACTGAGAAGTAGAGGGCTAGAGAAACGGAATAGCATCTATAGACGAGGATCTTACTTGCTGATCTTGAGCTTAGGGCACTTGCAGGCGAGGTCCCTGGCGCGCGACGCTGCCCCTGCACCCTAAAGTTGCCCATTATGGCTACAGGAGAACTAGGGTGCTAGGGAGAGGAGCTTACTTGTTGATCTTGAGCTTAGGGCACTTGCAGGCGAGGTCCCTGGCGCGCACGTGGAGCGTGACGCTGCCCCGACGCAGGCGTGAGCTTATACACGGCTTGCACGCTCACCTTGCTCATTATAACTAGAGGAGATGTAGGGGTCAGGGAGAAGAGCTTACTTGTTGATCTTGAGCTTAAGGCACTTGCAGGCAAGGTCCCGAGTGCGCACGCGCTTTTACACGGCTTGCACGCTGGACAGAGAAGTACCCGGGTTAGGGAGACGGAATAGCATCTATAGACGAGGAGCTTACTTGTTGATCTTGAGCTTAGGGCACTTGCAGGCGAGGTCCCTGGGACGCAGGCGCGAGCGCGGCGCACGCTTTTACACGGCTTGCACTCACCTTGCCCATTATGTCTGGACTGAGAAGTAGAGGGCTAGAGAAACGGAATAGCATCTATAGACGAGGATCTTACTTGCTGATCTTGAGCTTAGGGCACTTGCAGGCGAGGTCCCTGGCGCGCGACGCTGCCCCTGCACCCTAAAGTTGCCCATTATGGCTACAGGAGAACTAGGGGGCTAGGGAGAGGAGCTTACTTGTTGATCTTGAGCTTAGGGCAT